TGATATTAATTAGTGGTCTCCAGAGCATATCAGAATATGCTAATGTTTCCTATGGTTACCACCTTCAATTTTGGTGCACTTTCTTTCTCTTGAAGCCTTCAGCAATTGCTTGAAAATTTGTTGGAATGAGTAATGGAGATGGCAAACTTTTGCACTGGAGGGATATTTAAAGTCCATGCTTATTCAATTCAAAGTAAGAGAAAATTACTTCTAGGCATTCTTTGACCTTTGAGGGGATCAGCCAAATGAATTTGCAGATCCATTCCCACTTTAACCATTTTCCCTCTTGCAAGTATTTGGAAAGTGGCAATTTAGACCTTATCCAGTTGAAGGGTAAATAATAAATGGACATTCAATTGTTTGTATTCTCTGGCTCTCTTTTCTTGCATCTTGATAAAAATGTGCAAATCATAAATAACCCAGTAGAACTATATGGAGTGTGGCAGTAATGTGTTTGGGAAACATAATTTACTACCTTACCATTTTCAGGTTTGAAGAAAATAATGATGGCCAACATCAAAGAGCTGCCTTTTAAGTGTACACATGCCAGGTGGGATTTGCGATTTGCCTTCTTTGAACGCTTGGCCCTGTGTGCTGTATCACAAACTACTTTGGAAAGTCGTCTCTGTTTCAAAAGCAGTTTGAAACTATGGCCCATCCTCCTGCTGCTAGTTCTGGGACACTACTCCAGGGATACAGCCAGGGTCAATTCCAAAAGCAAAGTCAGCAGGTCTTCTAAAGTCAAGCACAGGGAAATACAAGGCCTGAGGCTGGTACTCAGAAAGCATTCAAGTCCCTTGCTTGGAAAGCTTTTAAGAGAGTTCAGATTCCCAGCCAGGTTACAGCTGCAGGATGTCTGAATGGTCAGCTTGTGAACCTGAATCATGAGCACAGCTTTACTCATTAGTAGCTCACACATTCTCAAGCGTGTGATTATATTTGCAAAACACCTCCTTAAAAAAAGGTGAGGCTCAGATGACAAATTAAATTGCACTGTTATTGTTGTTAGGTACTGTCAAGTCATCTTTGTCTTATGGAGACTCCATAAATAAAAGCCCTCCAAAATGTTCTGTCCATGACATCCCTGCTTCACTGTTCTAAATTCAAGGCTGTGGCTTTCCTTGCTGGAGTCAGTCCATCTCTGATTTGGTCTTCCTTTTCTTTTTTCTTTCTTCATCTTTATCATGATTGTCTTCTCCAGGGAGTCTTCCCTTCTCATGATGTGTCCAAAGTAGGACAGCCTCAGTTTTGTCATTTTTGCTTCTAGGGAAAGCTTTGGCTTGATTTGGTCTAGAACCCACTTGTTTGTCTTTCTGTCAGGCATTTGCAAAGTATTAAATAGCATACATGGTCAAAAAAGATGCATTTTCACACTTTAATGACTAGGGAAAAAAGCACAGTTGGGTGAATATGTAGAAAAGCATCCCTCTGTTACAAACTGTGTACTTTGCTTGTTGGGCCCTCTGCAGCAAGTGTGGAGGAGCAGAGGAGAAGCTCAACAAGTGTGAAAATGGCTCCTTCCATCCCTACTCACAAGCTGTTCTTATTCCTCAGGTAAGCATTCTGCCTTTGGCCCTGGAAGAGCTATGACACTTCAACACTGCTCTCAGGGGACTAGGTGGCCACTCAGCATCTTCCTCTGTATTTGAGAGACAGTGAACTAGGTCATGAGATTTAGCTGATAGCTGTCTGTTCTGATGGCCCAGGACTAGATCCCCCAATCCTCCTCAACAGAGCTTCTTTGTGCTGTTTGGGACAAGGGGATCGGGGTGATCTTCCAAAGGAGTCTTCCAGAGTCCCTTGGAAAAGGAGGGCCGCTGTTTAAACAAGACCAGTCCACAGCTCTTTTGGAGCCACACAACCATCGACACGCTAAGTTTCTTGCAAAAGGCATTCTTGGCAGTGAGAACCAGGTGCCTTTAAATCTGCAGATGGTACAACAGCCTGTTTCCATATGGGAAGGCTCTGCTTGAAAGCTGATTGTCCCTGCCAGACTGGTGAGTAATTCAGGTGGTGATTTAGATCTCTGAAGGAAGAATGCGAGATAATCCCCCTATCATGGTCAAATGTCCCAGAGCGAATTGAGCAAAGTGCTCTGAATGCGGCAGCTGTAAAATGGAAGTATGGGAGGTAAGGAAATAGGGAGCAACAAACAAGTAAATAAAACATGGCCTGAGGAAAGGAAGTGGTAAAATTAGTTGTAGGATTTCATTCTGTGAGCAAAAATGTGTGCCTTCTTGATACAGGAAAACCTGTGATATCTTAAGCTTTATATAATGTGCAAACAGATCAAAAGGAATCCATTTTCAGCCTTGACATCACAAGGCAACTTCCATTTGTTTGAATATCTGGAAAAGGAACACAAAGTGTGTAAATGCTACCGTTCTCCAAACTTTTGCCATGGAGCAATGTACATTTGATTTACATTTGGTTTTTATATTCTTACCTAATATGTTGTTGCATTTTATTCTGAGTCATTGCATTCATTTTATGCTTAGATTTTAAACTGCAGTTTTTAAAAATCCATAAATAGTAATGTTGGAGGGGATTCTTTAAAGGAAGACTATGCATTTGTCTACAATGCATCATATATCATCTCTGTCTAGGAATGAATGGCATACATTACTCTTCTATGCTTTTGACAAGTATATACAAAAAGTAGAGACTATAACTATAAGAAGTGATACCTGTATATATTTGTTGTTGTTGTTGTTTACTTTTTCTTCCCCATCCCTTTTTCCTTTTGTATTATATTTGCTAGATAATGTATTTTAGACTGGAAATTACTTCATATATTTGATTTCTGTACCACCCAATAGCCAAAGCTCTCCGGGTGCTTTACAACAGCACATTAAACATGCAATATAAAATGCACATATAAAAACATATTTTAAAACATCATAAAAAGTTTACAATACAAATTTAAAAACCAGATTTAAAAAGATTTAAAAACTTGAACAAAATCATAAGACCTGTTAACAACTAGCAGGCCCTAGTGGACTAATTGAATTCCCTGCAGTAGAGGACAGTCTTTAGCTGGCACTGAAAGGATAGCAAAGCTGGCGCCAGGCGGGCCTCACTGGGAAACTCATTCCATGACTAGGGGGCCACCAGATCATAGTTCATTGATAGCAGGCTGCCTCTGCCCAGATGGGGGCAAAAGTACACTCAGCAAGCGCAATCACCACAGAATGATTCTGAGCATGCACAGGGTGGTTTGTTGAATGCAATCTAGCAACTTCATCTGAGAACCCTCCTTTTGAGTAATTCTCAAAATTGCTTTTGGAGAGAGCCAAGCCTCTTCTCTTTGTGCTGCCTCTCTGGTTTTAAAGCCAGTACTCCCACTCTTGCCAAGAGGCTGCTGGTCAAGGCTTCAGTCTTCATATGTAGCGATGTGCATCTTGAGTGCATATGACTAAAATTAGTGGTATGATTATATTCTGTGCACTGAATTGTAAAGGTGGTAAATAACCCTTGCCCCTCAAATATAGTTGACATGCAGCCCATAACCCTCCAAACATCGAAGGTTAGGACATCCAACTGAGTGTGGAAGCAGCATTGCCTTTGGGCTTCCCTCACTCTGAAAGCATTCAGATGGCTGATTTTGGCCATCTAAATGTTTGCTACTTTCTCACCATGAGGAAGGGCTTAGGCATTGCCTGGATTTGGTGGAAGGCCATAGATTTGTGCCCTTATTTAAGCCCTAAGTACATTGGCCTGGGAATAAGTCCCACTGAATGCAGTGAGACTGGCCTTTGAGCCGACATGTATAGGATTGTACTGCCAGGGAATAAGCTATGCTTTCTTTGGTGCCACATATTTTCATGTATTAAAGTATTAAAGTCATATTATGCAAACAAGGTCATTTGTCACCCTCTTAGGGTGGCCTACTGTAATATCCAATCACTGTACAGTGGCTTTGTGTGCTATGTCAACCATGCATGAGTCACATGGGAATCCATGGCTTGCAGCTGTCAAGATGTCACAGTGGCCTGTCCTGACATGTGAGCCAAGCAGGGTGGCTTATGCATGGCTTATGCATGGCTTCTCCAAAAAGACTACAGAGGTGCCCAGCAAGAGCAGGCAGTGAAACAGCTGGTCACTCCTCATTTTGCTAGCGCCACATCCTCCCTCCCTCACATGAATAAGAATTTCCTTTATGCAATTGTAAGCCTTATTTAGCCCAGCATAATAATATCCCCAGTTTAGTACGTCTTAAATAGTATTTGTCTGCTTACTTTCTGACTGTATTCCCTCCCTGAATAGCAACACCTTTTTTCTACTTTTGGGGAAAGGTAGAACATTTGTGTATATTTCATATTTTTTCACCTTGAAGGTCAGTTGTCCAAATTTAACTCTTTTTTTGTCTTCAGGAAGATTTGTGCACATTTAACTTTTTTTAGTAACTTGTGTGAGGATATGTACAAACTGGCAGTAGCTGCTGCACTTGAGGAAACTCTTGCAAATCTCCCCAAAGGTGAAAAAAGGTAAATTTGTGTGGTTCGCATGGAAGATAGAAAATAAAATCTACAAAAAAACGTACATTCCTTTACACTTGGTCCAGTGCACTATGAACTATTATCCATAACTTATTTTATACTAAATTAGGATGAGATATATTTTAATATAATAAGTTAATTGAGGTCTTTTTGATGCAGCACCAAATTAGTAAAATGCTGCCTGTGATTGCTTCCCTAGAAATGAGCTGTTAAGAATACAGTCCTTTGCAAGTTTAGATAGAAAAAAATGGCCTACATCTCCCAGTATTCCCTAATCAGTTATGGGGGCTTGAGCCTGCTGGGAGCTGCATGCCTCTTTTCTATCTTAATTTGCATATGATTCCAGCTTAAGTATGTTTTTGAAATCAGCTTTAGACCTGGTCTGCAGCCCCTACTGTTGGTATTATCATGCCTTTGTCTTTTCACTTTGTATTTTATTTCTGCATGCTATTTAGTTTCATTATTTTTCCCCTCTCTAATATGTTATTCAACTGCCACTAGCACTGATAAAGCAGATGACGAGGATGATGAAGACCTAACAGTGAACAAAACATGGGTCCTTGCCCCAAAGATCCATGAAGGTGATGTCACTCATATATTGAATTCGTTACTCCAAGGCTATGACAATAAACTCCGACCAGATATTGGAGGTAAGTGACACTGATGATGCACTGAATAGAAAACAGGCAGAGAGAGATAATAATCCATTGTTTTTGGATACTGTTGAATTGTTAGGATCCAATATTTTGAAATTCTGGGAATAGCTGGGGGGGGGGTGTTATGTGGCATCCCACACTACTGCTTGGTATTGCTCACAAAAAATGAGTGCCTTTTAATGTAGAATGTTTAGTGTGTAACAAGACAATGTATACATTATTAAATACAAATATAAATGATGCATAAATGGGTGCAATGGGATGTATGACTAGTGAGAGGAAAGTCCCACAACTCACAACTACTCCTTAGCTAGTCATGCTTGCTGGGGCATGTTGGGAATGGTAGGTCTGTTGAAATATCCACAGAATGTCGTCCTGCTGGATCAGAGCAAGGGTTCATCTGGCCCAGCACGGTGATCAACCCATTGCCTGTGGGCAACCTGTAAGCAGGATGTGGATGCAACAGCATCCGCATGACCAGGTTTCCTACCAACGGGAACATTGCCTTCGACTCTGCAGGTAATGCATAGAGGTAGAATTCGTGTGAATGTTCTCACTTTTCCTGTGCTGTTCCTTAGCACAGCTGAAACTGAGAAACTGATTCTGGGCTACATGTTCTATTCTTGATTTTGCTCTGCATGCTGCCTAGATGAAAAATGAGCAAATCACAGTTGCACCAAACCTTTTATCGGCACTTTTATCCATTTGTGCAGATGAAATGAACCCTCTAAGCCATGAAGAATTAGCTTCTCTATTATGAGCAGCAGCACGTATGAAGGTAGCAAAAGGGTGCAGTCTAAAGTATTATTTAGTTCTATTTAAACCTTTAAGAATGAATGAGTGTGTGTGTGTGTGTGTGTGTGTGTAGCTAAAGAATAGCAAATCACATAAAATATTCAGTGCTGGAAATCTCTTTTTTGTAAGACAAGAGAAGGAGTGTGTTTCTCTAATTGGTTACTTAAACGTATCTGTGTTTCTAACTTATTTTTCTTGTGGCAAAAAAATTGTAGTGCCCTAAATATTCTGCTGGATTGGACCAGACATCTAGCTAATACAGCACCTTGCTTCCTACAGAGAACAACCAGATACCTAGGAAAGCCTCCAAGGATAGCACAAGTGCCATCACTCTTTCCCACTGCTACCACTAACAACCAGTATTCAGGCACATGGCACCAGGTGTGCTTTATAGCCATCATGACAAGTTGCCATTGCTAGGGCCTGAGCTCCATGGCCCTGTCTAATTCCCTTTTAAAGTTGTCTGGGAATGATAGCCGTTACTACCTGTTGTAGCAGGAAATTCCAGTTTAACTCTATGTTTCTCTTTGTCTGTCTTGAGTCTACTGTTCTAGCTGAAGATCTTCCTTGTCTGTACAAATGAAGTATCATGGCGTACAATGCACATAGCTCATCAGACCAATATTTTCCCCAGTTCTGCCCCCCAACCCCAGCATCTCAGCATTAGATCACAGTTTAAGGAACCACAGAGTATAAATCCTCTGGGTAGCAAGTGACAGTCACTGAGTCAAAAGGGATGCGGGACACTCTCAAAGGCAAATGGGCTGCCTAGTAAGCTACATTACTAAGGGCTATGTAAAACCTGTAGCTTGTAGTCAATCCTCACCATATTGTTTATCCTAGTGTAAACATGTAGAACCCAATCTGGCTCTGGACCATTGTTTAAGAAAGGACTTCTCATAAGAGAGACTTTATTTCCACATACTCAAAACTTGCACAGTGTCCTGATTCGGATTGGGTGTTGCATTGACTGGTATTTTGTGAAAAATCATTTGGGATCAGCATTAAGAACATTTCCCTCCTCCCCACCCTCAAAAACAATGCTTTATATCACCTGCTATTTGATTTTTGCTCTTTCATTCACCATGGAGTTTTGCCAAATGAATGAGATCCTGGCCTGCTTATGGCTGTGCTTGGAACCAGCAGTTTTGCTAAGCTGTTCAGCTGGGCTCAGGCCATGCAAATGGCCAGTGGGGTTCAATATACACCCATGGAAAGCCTCAGACCATGCCTTGTCTTTTTGGGCTTGGAGCACGAGTAAAGTCCAGGCTATTTGCTCACAACCTACCCAGCACAGAGGTTCGGCTTCTTCCCTGGCAGTGCCCGCTTTGTCTGCAGTTCCAGCACTCATTTTTGCAACAGGTGCGGCACCTTCAGGAAAGCTCAAAATATTGTATAGCATCACACCCGCCCCCCCGCCCATGTACAACTGGCATATCCTGCTGCTGCATCCAAAATGTGTTGCAAACACAAATGTGGGATGCTGGGGCAGAAAGCCCGCATGTTCAAATTGGTTATCAGGGTGAGTGATGTTTGAAGTGTTTACAGTTTCCACTGGTTTTCTTTTGGTACAACACTGTGTTCAGTATGAAGAACATGTGGCCTTGGACGCTTTCTGCTGCCTAGGGTGTTCAACACCTCATTATGAAGTCAGACAACATATTTTTTCCTCCTCCTGACACTCATGGCTTTAGATGAATTTTACTGACTACGGACCAGGCATTCTCACTGTCGTTCTTTGGTTTATTTCTCTATTGGTTCTTGACTCTTGATGTTAATGTGAGTTGAGATGCTTAAGGGGCAAATTCTATTATTAAACAGTACATTTTGCTCTAAACTTAAATCATCTCTATACGGAAACGACGTTGCAGTTGTCCTTCAGCAGTGTAAGTGCAGCAGAGAAAACATTCATCACTCGCAGGTATTTGTTGATTTTGGATTGGTAGCCTGACTCCTTTCGACTTTAACTGCATGCATCCAGGATTCATAGATTCATAGATTAATGGGATCAGAAGGGGCCAAGCAGACCATCGGGTCCAATCCCCTCCTGGTGCAGGATGCCAAGTTACACCACCTCCTCCGCCTCCTCAATTTCATACACAACCTTTCTCTGTAGTAAGAGTATCACTGAGTAACTGCAGCATGTCCTCAGGTAAGTAGACATCTTGTCAGGAAACATCTATTTCCTTTTTTTAATGAAACAGTAGCAATGTAAGACCCCAGTCCAAATCAGAACATTGATGCTTTCCTTGTGCAAGCCTTGGGTGCCTCAAAATGAGGTCTTCCCTGTGAAACATCCTTTCTTAAACAGTGGTCCTGATCCAGACTGGGCCCCGTGTGCTTACATTAGGGTGAACAAAGCAGTGAGTATCAACTGCACACCGTGTGTTTTACACAGTGTGTTGTTTAGCCCTTACTGTTGCCTTTCAGACTGCTACACATCCTTTTTGCATCAATAGATGCCACTTGCTATCAAGGGATTTGTGCACTCTTAACTAAAGTTTCCCAATTTAGAGGAGAACTGCTTTGAATTTGAAAGTGACCTCGATGTGAAGGGATGCTGGTGCAAAGCTTGCTCGACGAGAAAGAGCCACAGTGAGTGAGTCGGCACAAGGGCCTTGAAGTTGGTCATGGACCGCGGGCACCAGGTCAGACTCTTCCCCCATTGTGGATGAATTTAGTGTACTTCTTTATACACAGACATTAGCCATATGCAAATGTGGTGCAAATCTGTGCCCTCTTTTTGGGTAATGTCTAAATGGCAGTGTTAGTGGCAAGGCTTCCGGCTCTTCCCTTTTCGGGAATTCTGCTGCTTTTACCACCATGTTGGGAAGCAGGAGAAAAACAGGGGAATGGTCCCAATGCAAGAGAAACTGGACTTCAGCAGTAAAGCACCTGTCCTGGCATTTCCAGTTGAAAGGACTGGATTGTAGGCAATGTGAAGGCACCTGCTCAAAAACCCTGCAGAGCGGCATGGTAGTTTTTTCCAGACCAAGGGAGACTAGCCATGTATGAGCCAGTGTGCCTCCCACTTTATTCTAGGCATTCATAGAATAACCGGAAAGGGGATAGGCGCTTCCAAAGCAGGGGAGCTGCCTTGATCTTGGTTCATACAGATGGACTCAGGCAACAGCTGTGTGGGGACATGAGGTTCTTTGAAATGGATGGATTGGATCAACCAAAAGTAGGATGTTTTTAGGAGGTGGTCAGAGTTAGAATCTTTGAAAATAATCTTAGGGAAAAATTGTGCCCATATGTAAGTCTCTCCCATTAAAATAACTGTGACCAAAAGCACTTAATGTTGTATTGTGCATGGAGTAAGCACCATCAGGGAAAGCTCATGGTAAGTGGACCCTTCACACTGGAGAACTACATTAGCAGGACACCAGTGCTGCTTTTGGATGCTGGTGCTTTCATAGAATCATAGAAGATTTGGAAGGGGCTATGAAGGCCATTGAGTCCAACCCTCTGCTGTTGTAGGACACCAAGTCACACCATCCCACTCAGATGGCGCTCCAGTTTCTTTTTGAATGTCTCTGGTGTGGAAGAGTAGGCAGTTGGTTCCACTGTCGTATTGCTCTGATAGTGGGGAAGCTTTTCCTGATGTCCAGCCTGAACCTGGCTTTGCCTCAGTGCTGTCTCTCAGTTAAACAAAACAGTGTCAGTTTCAGGTTTTTGAGGTCCCTTGGGCAAGACCTTGGGCTTTTTACAGCATTGTCTCCAGCTGCTGTCACTGCTCATTCTCTCAAGCATGATTGCAAATGCCTGCTTGACTGACAAGCAGAGATGCCTCAAGCCAGTAGGCCATGGAATCTGCTCCTCCATCTCACCACCACTTGGCAAAGCAAGAGACAAATGAACAAGCAGATGAAAACTAGAAGCAAGTCCAGGGGTGGGAGCCTTTGGTAGGTGCCTGGCCATACAAGCCCTTAATTCTGAGCCTGAGATTGGGCATGCTTGTCTTCTTCAACGTTATGCATGGTCCAGATTGTTGTGATCCAGGTTCCACTTTTATGCACCCATGTCTGGCCACCCACCTTTATCACTTTGGTCAAGGTGGTCAGAATCACATTTTGAAAATGGCAAACTCCATAGGAGGACATGATTTGGCAGTATGCTGCCTTCCCATTTGTATCCTAATACGTACATGCATGTGTAAGTGTGTGTATGAATAAATGCAGCACGCCTTATGCAAGCACATACAGGTTCCCGGCTGTCCTGATACACATGTTCCCCACATCTGGCCAGGGCTTGTTTATTTCCAGAGGGAGTGGTCGGCAGTTTGTTACAGCAGAAACAACAAAAAGCACCACCTTCCCTAATGAAGTGGCCTTTGTCCACCAAACCCTTGTAAATGACTGAAGGTGCAATTTTATGCAGGTCCAAACTTGCATTAGATTGCATCCTTAGCCTTTTAGGTGTCACAAGCCTCTGTTGTTTTTTGTTAATATGTTTATCATCTTTATTTTTTTATTGGAATGCCTAGCTGTTTTATATTTACTTGGTTAAAGAAGGCAGGATGAAAATAATGTTAACAAGATATGAATCTGCTCCCTTCCCTTCCCTTCAAGTTTTTCCCAGTAGCCAAGTAGCATTTCTCTTAATAGTTGCTAAGGTTATTATCTGGGAATGTTTTATGGCTACTGCTGTTATTTGAGCGTTACTACGTTTTGTTATCATGTGTATTAATTTCAAAGCTTGTACAGTTTTCCAGCTGCCTTTGACAAAGTGTAAGATTTATAAGAAATAAAATGCTTCCACAGTGACTGGGAACATGGGGGTGGCCCAGATTAAACTTTGGAGAGCTTGCTAGTAGAAGTGGCTTTAAAATATGTTTCAGAGTATCTTTCAGGCTTAACTTCAGACAAAATAATGTTTAAGTTTTGAGCCACTGTTCTTTCATAGGAGTGATTGATTTTGTGTCCAGTGTAGTATATTGATCAAAGCTCTAGCTGAAAAGATACTAATATAGCTGAATTGTGCTTTGGTCTGGATATGAGTACAAGAGTCGAGGAAGCTAATGTACTGTTTCAACAGCTCTTGAGTAATCACATACTGAAGGGAAATATTGGTTCAGTGTTTCAATACATTAATTCATAAGATGCATAATTAGTGGCCTATTTGATCTGGTTTTCTCATCTGTTACTTTGAAACATTACTCAAAATTTACAGTATTAAATCTTGTCCTCTGTTTCCCCTACTTCTCTGTTCCTCACTGGAAAAAGAAACATTTCTGGGTTTAATCCATCTGTTAATTTGTCCCATGTTAATAAACAGCATTTTACCTGAGCTATATAAAGGAGTTTGTTTTAGAAGAGGTGTTCCACCCAAACAGAGCATTTTTTCCTTACTAAATCATGAATGCATGGCATGATTCCCTCACTTCCCAGGTGCGCAAAGCAGAACTTGAGCAGCTGTGTGCGAACAGGAGGGGATTTTGGTTGCCATCATGAGAAGCTTGTGCATCCTTTTTCCTCTGCCCCACAGTCTGCATCGGGGCTGCTGTGCCAATTTCTTTCAGCATCCATAGCTATTTTATGTCATGGGAAGCCCTTCCATGCCTCACATGCTGACATTCAGCAGACTCTGTTTTTTGGAGTGCCACGCATTTCATGGAGGAATACATAGGCAGCTGACTTACACTACGTCAGACCGTTGGTTCATCTAGCAGGGGTAGGCAGCATGGCAAACAAGTACGCCTTTGGACATCATTTTGCACTCACTGAGATGCCCTTTCCCGCCTACTTTCTTTGCATTTATTTATTTTGAAAATAGCTTTTCTTACTGGGTGCTGGGACTGCTTTAAAGCCAGGCGAGGACATGTAGCTGCCCCTCTATGTCCTCTGTGAGTGCCTGTGGGCCACATGTATTCAGAGTCATTATTAGGAAACAGGGATGGGATGTGGCTGCAAGTCAGTGCTTCTATCCCATTCTGTGGCAGTGGCCTGGAGAGTTTCTAAAACAGCCAAATCAGTCCATAGGCCCAAACAGGTTCACTTTTGATCTCAAATGTGCTGATGATGGCTCCCCAAGGTTTTAGATAAAGGTCTGTCCCATCACCTCCTACCTGGTCCTCTTCAAGCTGGAATGAACTTGGGAACCTCTTTATGTGTCTGTGTACTGTGGGCCTGGAAAGTGGTGGGCCACTAGACACCCATATGTGAGGTATCAAAAGGCCTTCAGTGATGGAAAATGGTCAAGCCGGTTGCTGTGAGAACACACTGGGGCAGCCTGTACAGAATGCCCATGAAGATCCTACTGCATATGAAGCAGTACTCACATATACCCCTGGGTGCAGAAAAAAGAGGCGATCATGCCATTAGCTTTTAGGAGTGTGCTCCTATGTGTGTTTATACAGAAAGACGTCTCCCAACATTCCCCACCCCATTGTGACTGTTTCACGAAACAAGCAGACAAAGAAGCCCTGCATTACTAAACAATATAGGAAGCAATGAATCTCATGTATCCTTATGATTCCTGTTCTGTTTAGTGCGGACTACAGTAATCGAGACGGACGTCTATGTTAACAGCATTGGTCCAGTTGATCCAATTAATATGGTAAGTTATGACTGTAACAAACTTTCAAGGTAAGCCTTTTTTTTTCGGATATCTGTCTGCTTGCCAATGCCTCTCACATTTGGAGTGCTATCAAGAGACAGGGCAACCTTGCACTTTTGAAAGGAGATTATTACCTTGAATGAGATAGCTGAGGCATCAAGTATTCTGTGAGAAAGTAGTTTGTTATCAAAGAAGATCTTACTAAATTAGGGACTTAAAAGAGAATCCAGTTTTTTGAAAGAAAACCATGTTAACCTTATTCAAATGTGTCCTTTTATTTCTTATCCTTGCAATCTGAAAAGGACTGCCAGATGAACATGAAATAAGGCTCAAACTGAGTATGATCCTAATAAGTTTTAAATGTTAATAAATAATCTTAAGATAATGAGATACTTGTGCTGGATAAGATATATAAGGTAGGAAAACTGAATTGCGTAGCATCTGCCTCCTACTCAAGTTTGCAGTTATAGTCAGTCTTGGTTATCTCAGTGGATAAACTGTGCTGGAAACTTGTATCATTACATTTCCATCCCACTTTTTCTGCAAGGTGCTCAAGGGGGTATACTTGATCCTGTACCTTATTTTACCCACCAACAATCCTGTGCAATAAACTGAGAGTCACTGGAGGGCCGAACTCATCCAGCGAGCTTCATGGCTGAGTGGGGACTAGAATCTGGAGCTCCCGAGTTCCCACCCAACAATTGAATCACTGTGCCTCACCGGCTCTCAGCAGGCACCCTTTGCTGCTGCCTGCTTTCTGGTCAGCATATCTTTTTCTCTAGTTTCCCAGCTTATGTGTGTGCACTCACACACACCTTTCTCCCAGCGTTTGCCTATCCCTCTCTTTATCATTACGTAGACATACAGAGAGCTTCTGCGCATGAAGCATTCCTTGTGCCCTCGTGATTCATCCATCACAGAAGTACTCAGGGCCTTTTCACAACATTATTACCTTCCAGAGTGTTGCTGGGGCCAGCCAGATGCTTTTGTGCTTGGACACGCTGGTATTCAACTTTAATTGACAACAAAGTGGAACAGAAGCATCAGGAAAGAAACAAAAATCTGCTGTGCTGCTGTTACACTACAGTGCCAGCTTGTGCTTTGTTAATTGTGTGTGTGTGTGTGAAGACACAAACCCCCCACCCCAAAAAGCCCTGTAAAAAAAATGCATTTTTTTGTCTGCAGTGGAAATGGGAGAAGCCTGTGTGCAGGTGCAGGTTAAGCATTTTGCATGAAGCAGCCCTGAGAGAGAGAAAGGAGGGATGTGTACACACATGTGTGCATATGGCAGTGGATCACAGCTCAGGGGCAAAGCCCATGCTTTGCAGGCTGAATATCCCCAGCTCCGCCCCAGATATCTCAGACAGCAGGGTCAGAAAAGGTGTCCACTGCATGCTTCCAGGCAGAATAGACAATGCTTGACTAAATAGTCCAATGATGTGGCTCTTTTATATATTGAGATCCATATTGTGAACATTGTCAGGTTCATAAGTCAGTGGACAAGAAGCAGCCAGAGCTTGAGGCAAGCAGCATGAGTCCCATGGGTTATCTTGGTCCCTATTACAGGTGACTGAGGTGGTGGTCCTGTGCACACCTGTAGCAGCAAGTTCCATTGAACTCAGTGGGACTTGCTTCTGAATACACGTGTCCAATAATCTACTTCTCTTGTAATGTCTTCTAGTTCACTGCAACCATGCTATCCATACTGGTAGTGGAGAAGGAAAGAGACAGATCCTGTGGGATCCTTGTGATGATGATTTGGGTTACTTGGGGAATTAGATCTCTGAATTCTGATGCTAACAGTACCTTCTGGACTAATCTGCCAATCGTCATGAAGGTGTCTATCAGATCTTGTAATTCTCTGAATGTTGTAGTTCAGTTTTCAGCTGAAAAAACATGAAAATGTGCATTTTGAGAGAAAATCAGTCAAAACTGATATTCAAGTTCATGGTTCAATGTGAATTTTGAGAATTTTTAAAATGTATGAATGGAATTGACATGCAAAGGTGAAGCAGATTGGAAGCCAGTGGAATCTTCTCAGATTTCTGGCTCATTCAGAAAGGAAGTGAAGGATGGCCATTCAGTAAACCCAGTGATATCATGGAGCAAGTAAACCTGGTCCTTTCAGAAGCAGAGTCATTGGGTTAAGGAAAGCTCCAAAGGTCATTTAGACCAACCCCAAACTCATAGCCATTAATTTAAGTTGTCCTTTCAGATAAGAGTTCTAACAATCACAGCTGTGGTTCAAAAAGGTATGCTGGTTGAAAGCTGCCTTAGCAGAATCCATTCAGATATAAGGGTGGTTTAGACATTTTAAAGTAAATTAATGATGGTGTGGCGGGGACGAGCACCCAGTTATAAATAGGATTGATTCTGAAGTGGAGGTCAGAATCTTCCTCTTTGCTGCAGTTACTTGAGGTTGCCAACATTTCTGAGTATTCACCAAGTTTGTTTTCATATTTAGGACTGCATTCTTATTCAGCACAGTGATAGTGTTAGTATTCAGGGACTGATGCCAAACACCTTAGTTCACAGTTTACATTTTCAAAACATTCAAAAGAGGTGATATTTTCCAGGTGAGAGCCTTGTTTGTTAAAATATTTTGGTATCTTTGCATAACACTTAGCCGTAAGTGGAATAGCGGGTGCTAAAAGATGAATTGCTTCAAAGATTATTGTAAGATCCTGAAATATGACTTAATTGGAGACTCGTTTCTGGATTCTTGCCCATTCAGGTGACTGGGTTACATTTGAGACTGCACTTAACTGTATAAAAATGACTCCTGAAATTTGGTGATGCCTTCCTTTACACAGGTGTTTCTCTCTAAGGCTATTCAGGAGCATCTTACAAGAAGGAGGCAAACACATGATAAGAGGGAGCACTCCCATTGTCTGCCCATTGTCTTTGCTGCCATTTGTCGCCCTCAGCTTGTGGAGAGTGGCCATCTAACAAGGAGAACCTCCTCTGTTGGTGGAATTTCTCAGGACTGGCCAGAATGCTGGTTTTCCAGTGTTCTGGCTCAAGTGGAGTCTCTGTGGAAAGAAGAGGCTCTTTTCAGACAGACACCCTCCATGAGCAGAGAGTGATGTGTACAGCAGGGAAAAGCCCGGTCTCTTTTGGGTAGGGATGGAATTTTCCCTCTCATCAAGAGTTTGCCCAGTGCAGGGAGGAATGCCTGCATCAGGGTTTCTGTGCATCCGCCATCCAGTTTTCCCAAACCTCTTCCTTCAGAAGTGGAATCAAACAGCAGCTCTTCTAGCAGTTGGGACATAACAGGACAAGAGTGGCTGTCTTGTGCAGGCCTCATCTATCCAATATTTTCCTGCATGGTTGGGAGTTCTTTCAGCACCGACCAGCATGTGGCAGTGGCAACAAATACCAGGAGACTCTGTCCAGGCATAACAAAAACTCTCATTGATATAAGTATTGACAGCATACTACTGTCTCTGGAGAAATTAAGTGTGGAGTACCTCGACCACATCAATTATCTCAACCAGCTAAATGGCTAAAGTAAATCCTGTAATAAGAGCATTGGAAAAAAGGCAATCATGAAAAGGGGAAAAAGTGGATAACAAGCCTTCTGACCCATTTTAGCTTGCTGTAAAATGGGTGATCCTCCGTGAAGGCCTTTGCAGGCTGCCAACACCTTCTGAATTTATTTATTTAATTAATTAATTTAGAAAGCTTCTATGCTACCCCATTCGCCAAAGCCTCAGGGCGGCTCACAACAACAAATAAATAATAACAATATAAAAACAATATAATTGGAGACATCCTGGCCAAGGATGTAAAATAAATAAATAATATTAGCAATTAAAATAACATTTAAATAAAAAGATCTTTGTCTGGCGCCGAAAAACAAATAATGACAGCACCAGGCGGACCTCTCTGGGGAGCGCATTCCATAGATTGGGCGCCACCGTAGAGAAAGCCCTCCTCCGAGTACCTACCCTCCTAATATTTAGCAAAAGTAACATGGATTGCAGCTAGTAAAGGATATCGTGTCCCACCAGAACCTGTTAATTTTCAAAGACGTTTTATACACATAGGGTGGCAGAAGGTCAGCATCGGGGGCAGTTCAGTTGCAACCCACGTATGTTGAAAGCATGCACTTCTCTGTTATGGGATAGGTACTTGATTTTTTTTGCTGGCCATCTTTTGCCTTCATCGGCCTTCTTTTGTATATCGTCTGGATGATGTGGAGTTATTCCTAAAGCCTCACAATTTTCTTAGTCTAAGTGTGATCACTTCTACATTTTGTGGCACATGAATTTGTGGGGGGGGGACAGTTGACAGGGATGGATCATATACCTGCCTCTTTCTGTGCTGTAGATTTTGTATCTTCATATTGCCTGAATATATTCATATATTATTATGAATATAATAATATTCATATTAGTGGTTCTCCAACAAAGTAAACCTTGTGAAACTGAGATTTGTGTCAACTCTGTTAACAAAATAACAGGGCAGTGCAGCATCCTTATTCTGTAGGTGGCTGTGGTACCAGTGAAGGTCATTGTAATTTGTGTCTAATGAGGTCTGTGCATGATGATCACAACATGAGGTACTTGTAGTTCTTGCCTACTGATCACTTCCTAAAAAAAATATCTCTTTATAAAATTAACCTTAATTTTAGCATGGTGTAAAATCATACTGGTAACTATCAGGAAATGCTTATCTGCTTCTAGCTGCTGACCCTAGAGAATGTGAGAGTGGTGGTGCAGGCTTTGTCAAAGAACCCGCAGCAGAACCCTTTCCCTGGAATAATTGGCTCATGCTGCCTTTTTCCTCCATGTGAGTGGACCCTGACAGTGCCTGACACTCCCACCCTCCAGAGCTGGCCCTGCATAGGTAAGGAGGAGCAAAGACATTCATAAACCTAAGTAATTGTGTTGTGTTTCTGGAAGGTAGGCTTCAGGTGCATTAAACCTTAGTGCCATTATTCAGCAGAATCTGTTTATGCGATATTTAGAGCAGGGATGGGGAACCTGCCTTTTTTG